TTACATAATAGAATAGTGATATTATGAAATGATGTTTGAATGCACAAATTTTTTTACCAAGTATTACATTTGACCAACTTCATCCTTATACATAATTTTTCATAAAAAAAATTCGGGTAAATTGTAATTTTGATACCCAAACTAAAGTTCATTTCGGAATCAGTACCCGTTTTTTAACATTTGTAAAATCAGTACCCAAACTTTCATTCTGTTAGCAACGTTAGTACCCGGCCGTTAGATCTCCGTTAAATTTCCGTTAGTTGTTAACGGAAGTAGGCAAAATGGAGGAAATTTTTATGTTTTTTTTGCTCATGATGAAATCTATATACATAAGACATTTGTACCATTTTTTTTTCAAAAAAAGGCAGCCTCCACTATTTATAAAAACAAAATTGGATAAAAATCGATTTTTTTTGGAAAAAATATAATAAATCGAGAAAAATGAAAAGACATGGTTTCTCTTCTAGTTCATGCAGTATATATTGGAATAATAATTTTTCAATAACAAAAATACAAATTTCCTTCTATTTTGCATACTTCCGTTAACAACTAACGGTAATTTAACGGAGATCTAACGGTCAGGTACTAACGTTGCTAACAGAATGAAAGTTAGGGTACTGATTTTGAAAATGTTAAAAAACGGGTACTAATTCCGAAATGAACTTTAGTTTGGGTATGAAAAATGCAATTTACCCAAAAAATTCAAATTGAAATATGAAATGATTATGATACATAAAAGAAAGATATCTGGTATTGTCAAAGCATCATTTTCTACTATATTACAGAAAAGAAAATTATCTAACAAAACCACATTCCTAACATGAAACCACTCATTAGTTAGATATAAATTTCTTTTGTAAATTGTAGCTTTGTAGATTAAGAAAGTGATAACAAAATTTGTCATAACAATAATGAGGAAAAAGAAAAAAAAAAAGAGCACAACAGTTATGTGTAACCATGGTAGATGTGCAAGGAACATTTGTCATTTAATAAGCATCTCAATACATTCTTAGAGATATTATATATGACCATAAGATATCAGTT